GTGAGGAGAGGCCGGGACAGTGGGCACGGTGCGGGATCGTGTGAGGAGAGGCCGGGACAGTGGGCACGGTGCGGGATCGTGTGAGGAGAGGCCGGGACAGTGGGCACGGTGCGGGATCGTGAGGAGAGGCCGGGGTGGAGCAGTCTGACCCCTGATGTGACCCTCAGGACCAGCTTCCTTGTGATGGCCCCCGACAGGAAAATGGCCCTACCAGAGGTTGTTGCCCTGTGCTCACTTGACCTTTAGCAGTGGAGAACTTACATACTGCAAGTGTGTTTGTTTTCTCTATATTGGACACGTTTTCTTAGCTTTGTCTTTATACTGTGGTAAGCAGGGATGGTGACAGTGCCATGCTGTATCTGTCCAGAGTCCCCCGGCGTCGTCAGAAGGGCGCTCTGTGTCGTGCTGGGTGTGTTCGTAATGCGTGGCAGGCACGTGCCTTCCACATCTGGAGTTGAGATGCAGATGTTCAGAGACCATCTAAACTAATTACAACCCTCTTCCTGGTTCTGCATATAGAAAATTCATTTGGACATAGATTCTGAACCAGGTTGAGGTGCTGATTGATTCTTTTCTCATGAGCACGATGAATGGAGGCGGTGTGTGATTTAAAGTGGGTGCTTAGTGAGATTGTCGTTTAGTTTGTGAGTAGAACCTTCTAGTTTACTTTGTGTTGTAGCCAACCTCAGATAGGGTTTGTGCATTTCATTTTCATTTTTTTTCTTTGCTTTTTGCGTCTACTGGTACTGAGCTTGGAGGGATGTTTTTTATTAGGGTGCCTTTAAGAATGTGACCCAGAAAAGTGTCTACAAGGGAAATTAACTTTTTAGAATCAACATGGAACAAGCACTTTATTTTGCAGAAAAACTAACTTCTGTACTTCGTGCTTTCGAGTACCATCCCAGCTTTCCTTTTTATGTACCTGTCCCTTTGGTTCTCCAGAGCTCTGAGTCCAGCATTAAGAAGAAATTTCTCAAAAGGAAAGGGAAGACTGACAGCCCGTGGATCAAACCAGGCAGGAAAAGGCGGCGGAGGAACAAGAAGAAGCAAAGCAGTGAGCTAGGTAGATGCCAGCCACGGGCCCTGCTCTTGTTCACAGTTGCGTGGCACCTCCATCTCTGGCTCGGGAAGTGTCCTGGCATCCGGGATGGGGGAAGGGGCGGTGGAGACTGAACTGGGCAGGCCATTTCTTTCTGTTGGAATTCTGCTTGGAGTCTCCTTTGTAAAGAGGGTTCTGTTGTTGAAAGTTTGAATGGCTGTTGGAGGCACTCAGGTGGTCCAGAACCATGTCCTTCAGGCTTCTGTGCTCTGTGGCCCCACACAGACCGTCTCCAAGCTGCTGCTGGTCTGCACACCACCTTCTGGACTCTGGTATCTGAGTGCCCCCATGGGCCTGCCTCTTAGGCAGAGATTCCTGTTCTAGAGGTAACTTTATCAGAAGTTTGGGGAAGGGAAACCAAAAAACCAAACCCGCTGCCATTGAGTCAGTTCCAACTCATAGTGACCCCCATTGGGTTTCCAAGGCTGTAAATATTTACAGAAGTAGACTGCTTCATCTTCCTCTTGTGGAGCAGCTGGTGGGTTTGAACCACCCAGCTTCTGGTTAGCAGTCAAATGCCTTACGTACTGTACCACCAGAGCCCCTTGCAGGGAAGGAAAGTATTTCCCAAGTTTAGGTGGCTGTAGCAGGTTACCTGTATGTGTCACCACAGTCAGTGTGGCCAACATCTCCGTCACTCCCACATCTCCTCGTACCCCTGTTACCCACTGGTTGCCTTCCCTTTTCCCCAATCATTGCCTCCCTATCACCGGGCAACCACTGGCCTGCTTACTGTCCCTAAAGATGAGTTAGCATTTCTGGAATTTCATGTAGACAGGATCTCTAAGTACGTACTTTTCTTTTTTCCAGGTTTCTTTGACTCTGTGTAGTTGTTCAGAGATCAAAAAAAAAAAAACCAACCCTCACTGCCACTGAGGGTTCTGACTCATAGCGATCCCCTTTGGGTTTCTGAGATGGTAAATCTTTACGGAAGTAGATTGCCTTGTCTTCTTCCATGGAGTGGCTGGGGTGGGTTTAGAACTGCCAACCTTGTGGTTAGCAGCCAAATGTCTTAGGCACTATGCCACCAGCTCCCTGTTCTGAGAGCTGTCCATGCTGTTGTACCTTCAGCAGTAGCTTCCTAGTCACTGCTGACAAGAGTGGCATGGGGTCCACCCCATGCGTCCAATCTGGATTCCATGAGAATGTGAAATTCTCTTCTGCATTTTCAGTGAACAGGATTCTCGTAGAGACTCTTTGATCAAAATGTTCAGTATTGGCAGCTGGGCACCATTCAGGTCTTCAGTTTCATGGCAGAAAAGGCAGTTGTTCGTGGAGACAGTCAGCCATACATCCTGTCCCTTCCTCCTGGTCCTGGCTTTCCTTCCTCTTCTGTTGCTCCAGGCGAATAGGGACCAACTGTTTTATCTTGAATGGCTGCTTGCAAGCTGTTAAGACCCCAGGAGGTGTGCATCTGAACTAGGAGGTAAAACAGAAGTACTGAAACGTTACTGGGCTGCCCCGTAAAACCATGACTCCAAACAAGGAACCAAATTCCGTGAGGTGCTTGGTTGTACGTAAGCAGTCTCACTGCTGCTCTTGTTTTTTGTGTGTAGTTGTTGTGAACACATCCATCACACAGCTTTGCCAGTTCAGCTTTTTACAGGTGTACGGCTTACTGACTGCCCTTAGGCTAATCAGCTATAGCACCCTGCCCTCCTTCAGCGCTCTTTCAGCTGAGACTCGGTGCTCCGGAAGCAGTAAGCCCCTTCCCCACCTTTCTGCCCTGGTAACCACTAGGAGACTTAGGTCTCTACTCTTCTGCCTGTTCCTGTCTTTTATGAGTGAGTGAGGTCATGTGATATTTGTTCTTCTGTGATTAACTTACTTTGGTCAGCATGATGTCTTCCAACTCCGTCCCCGTTGTAGGGTATAACATGACTTGAGGTCTCCTCCTGGCTCAGGTATTTTCTGTTGTCTGGCTGTACTGTGTTTTGTTCATTCATTCATCTGTTGGTGGGCATTTCTTCCATTTGGCTGTTGTCAATAGTGACCATTGGTAGACAAGTCTGTATTGAGTCTCAGCTTCCGAGTCTTTGGTTGTGCACCCAGCGGTGGAGTTGCTTGCTTCCGAAGTCCTCTTCACACCTGTTTCTCTTTGTCAGTCAGGCTGGTTGTCTCCTCACTGAGCTGGTGCGGCTCTGTGTGCCGTCTGCCATCACACAGGTTTGCAGACACTTGAAGCTCCTCTGTGGGTTGTCTTTTTATTTTCTGAACGATGTTTCAGAAGAGCAAAGTCACTGAGATTTTTCCCGAAGTCAGATTTATCAGTTTTTTTCTTTTTATGCTTTTTATGCCCTGTCTCAGAAATCTTCGACTGTGCAGGCCACACAGGTTTTGTCCCATGTTGTCTTCCTGAAGTTTTACAGGAGCCCTTCCATTGGGGCTCTGACACGTTCTGTATGATGTGAAGGGCTTGTGGCTCATTTGTCTGCATTGTGAGTGTGCACTCTCCCAGTGGGGGTGGTGAACTGACTTTCTTTTCCCCACTGGATTCCTTGAGGCCTTTTTGGTGATTATTTGGCCACTGTGTGTGGGGCTCTTTCTGCTCTCTGTACTGTTCTGTTAGTGCACTTGCTAACCCTTACACCAGTGCTACGATGCTGAACTTTCTCTTTTGAAAACGTATTGTAGCTATTTATCTAGATTCCCTGCTCTGGAAGTAGCTTTGTGAAAATGCACACAGAGAGGAATTCATCCCAGAAAGGCAGCAGCTGTGGGTGGCTTAGCAGCCAGCGTTCAGACTCTGGGTGGGTAGTGGCTGGCAGTCCTGTGTTCAGACTTTGGGGGCGTGGTCAGCAGTGGCAGCTGGGTGACCCATCCAGGTCTGTGTGCCTGCCTGTCATCCATCTTCCCCTGCTCTTGAGTTTCTCTTCATCAAGCACCATCAATGGATCATGAAGCCAGTGTAGCTTTTCCTGCGGGAATTTGTAGATCCAACAGTTGTCTTTGAGGTAGAGATTTCACCTTTGTCATCTTCATCTGTTATGTGTGACATGCACACTTATGTGTTTATTCATGTGGGAATTTGAATTTGCTTTCTGTAGTTTAATGTTGTGTAGAGACCACTCATGTTCCTCCAGTTGATGGTGACGATTTCTTAAAGGTTGTCCTAAGATCAAGGGGCAGAATGTGGCATGAGCTGACAACTCAGGTGGCACATCTCTGGGTCATGGGTCGTTTCTTTTGGCCGTGAAATCACATGGGTGTCAGTGTTGGAAGGGAAGTGTGGGTGTTGGCCCTTGGCTGCCATCAGCAGGCTTTCTGTGTGCAAGTATACTTTTCCCCAGCTTCCTCAGTGTAATACTCTCACAATTAGAAGCACCCAAGTCAAGGACTGCAGCTTGCACAGCTTTTCCCCCCCTTCTGGGGAGGTGTGGACAGCCCGGCCTGCTGCCGCCATCCCCTTCCTCCGGCAGGTAGAGGGCAGCTGACGCCTGCGCCATCTACTTCACTAGCTTCTCCATCAGCGGGCAGCCTGCTTGGCTCGTGGGGCTTTGGGCCCTCAGTGACAGAGGCCAGCACCATGTCTGACGGGCCTAGCCCCTTCCAGTCTGGCCTCCCTCCAGTGAGCCCTGCTGTCAGACACGTGGGTGGAAGATGCATGGCAGAAAGTGGTCCTCTTTACCCACACTAGCTTCCTGGCAAGCTTTTCAAATCTGCAAGGAGAGAGTCTTGTTTCATTTTAAAATAATGTTCACAGAGCATGTGAGTAGCACATTCTCGTCTGTTTCCTTGATGATTTGACCATTCTGTCCAAGTGGTACCATTAGGGGAGCGACATCTGTATGCCGGTGTCCCCCCTTCCCCCTGCAGCTCCCCATCCACCGACTCTTCTGTGGAAAATTGAGAATTAGCAAAGCAAAAGCATAGGAAGGAGCATCAGTGACACTGTGATGGCCCGTTTTCTGAATTCGTGAATTCGACTCTTCCTCATGGCTCTCGGGGTGCACTATCTCACTGTGTGTGCATTTCACATGCAGGTTCTGAGGCCTATAAACCGACTTCAGGGAGCACCGAGCGGATTGGCCCTGGAGACAGCATGGGCTACATGGAAGTCCCCCTGGACTCTCTGGATCTGCGTGTCAAAGGGATTCTGTCCTCACAAGCAGGTGACCACGGTTTTGACCTGAGTGTGGCGGCCACCATCTTGGTTCTTTGTGAGCTTGGCTGCTTCCTCTGTATTGGTAGGAAGCCCCCTGGTGGATGCTAATGGGAAATTTGATGAAACACTTCATTGAGAGGACTGGCTAGACGTGATGAAGGTGTTTTTGCTGTGCCACTCACAGTAGTCGAGTGAAGACAGAAATTCTGGAAACTCCTCAGGTCACTTGAAAAGGTTCTACTGACTAAAGTAGCAAGCATCCTCCCTATGACCTGAGTGTGATTGTGTCTTGGGATATCCCCTTGCCCCTGAGAGCTATGCACAGTCTACTGTGGAATCCCTTGGGGAAGGACTGTCTCCCTAGTGGTGGTTCAGGGTGCACATGGGTGACGTGATTTCGGGTAACGGGACTGTGATTCTAATTGTAGTTGGCTGAACTAGGAAGTGTTGGCGGTGGCTTGACAGTTCTCACATATATTCTGTAGTAGAGTAAAATTTACGTTCCATGCTGTCTTGGACCTGTAAGCCAGGAGTGCGTCAGCAGCCCAGGCTACCGCTAAGCAGCAGGGCTGGGCATGTCAGGAGGACAGATAACAAGGTGCCTGGGTTCAGAGGCAGCAGGGTGTCAGCGGACACCTCTCCCTGCCAACGGAGCTTCCTGGCCTCACACGAGCCACCTTGTTATTTTAGCCGAACAGTGAGAGGTTGGACGAGAGGGCATTCAAGAGCCCTTCCACCTTGAGGATTTTATATTCTATTTCTTAAAAAGCAGTACAAGTGAGGCCTGAATGAGGAGAGCTGTGTTAGGGACGTAGCAGAAGAAAGGGCTGTTGGGAAGTGGCTCTCTGAAGACATCTGTTCCCTGGCGGTTTATAAGCCAACACCCCCATGCATTTCTCAGGATGGATGCTTGTCTGGTCAGCCCTGCTGTTGACTGAGAGGGCGGTCTTGAAAAAACAGGCCACCTCGCTCGGCTGTGCTCAGGGCCCTCTCTGGCATGAGGAACCGGGGTGCCCCTTGAGAGAACAGGTACCCACTGAGGAGGGGTCATTGAGCAGACAGGCATGCTCTGGGTCACAGTCCAGAGAGTCCAGGTCTGAGGTAATCGGTGGTTGCTGTGTGTCCTCAGGCCCTCCTCTTCTTTGGTTTTGGGTTTGTTGAGCTGAATCTGAGGTGGCATTGCCACCATAGCAGAAACTAGGAGAATGGAAGACCTAGACTGAGGTGGTGGTGGTCCCACTGATCGTTATCATCTCTGCCTGCTTGTCGCCATGAACGAGAGGCGCTCTGGGTTCCCCATGCTGTTGTCCTTAAGTCGTGCTTTCAGCCCTGACCGTCCATAGTTGTGTGTTGTCTTTCCCCAAAGCCTCCGTCTGTCAGCTGTTTAAGCAGAAACAGTACTGTAGGGGAGGTAATGCTGTTGATTGGGAGGAAACCATGGTACAGGGACGTCACCCTGTTCCTGCCCTTCTGAGACTGTGTGAAGAGCGTGAGATCTCAGCATGGAGTGAACGTTTTTGTGAAAAGCTGGTGATTTAGGGCTCTTGGAGAAGCACACTCCCTCTCTCAGCACCTCCTCCTGGGTCCTACAGGAGGGTTGACACGTGGCATTTGTGAGACAGCAAGAGGACTGTAGGCCAGAGCACTGGCGTCCCATCTGGGCTCACTGCGCTGTTTGTGTGAATCTTCTCAGGTGGGGTCGGTGACAACCAAGTGATGGCCACCTCTGGGCTGACCTGAGGTTGCAGGTCTGATGCAGGGGACACTTTCACCCCGTCACCTGGCCCCAGGCAGCACTGATGCCTGTCTGTATGCATTGCAGGGCTGGCCAACGGTCCCGGGGCGACAGATGCAGACGGCCTCCAGGAAGTGCCTCTGTGCAGCTGCCGGATGGAAACCCCAAAGAGCCGAGAGATCACCACGCTGGCCAACAACCAGTGCATGGCCACGGAGAGTGTGGACCACGAGGTAAGGTGCTTCACCTTCATGAGGACAGCGCAGTTGGGCAACACCTGGGACCCTGAGACTGCATGGCCCTTCCTTCTCCCCAGCATCTCTTCTCATGTGACCAGATATCTGGGTAGATGCTCCAGAAACAGCGAACCAACTCTGGTCATGGTTCATGAAGTCATGTGGAAAAAGAAGCCTGTGAGAAGGCTAATGTGTGAACTTGCAGTTGGGCTTCCCTGGAGCCTCCTCTCTTCTCCAGGATCATGGGGAGGCCCCCTCGTCACGCTGTGAGGTCGGAGGTGGCTAGAGCAAACAGCTGAGCAGCCGCTTCAGATCTGGTGCTGCCCGTAGATGGACCTCCCCGCCTCCACTCTGAGCTGTGGTCACTTTCTCTGCCTCCCTCCCTTCCTTGGCCTCAGGCTTCCAAGAGACTATCTCGAGCCTATTGTGCCTGTGGCGTCCAGGGAGACCCACTCCTGCTGCTTCTGGTGGCTCTTGCAGCATCTCCTCCAGAGACAGGAAAAGTGGGGGGGCACTGCCACCATCTCTGAGCACCTCACAGAGTGTCAGCCTAGTTCTTGCAGCCCTTCAAGCCACTGGCTGTTGGTGTGGCCGCATGAAAGGCGCATACCAGGCCTTTCTGGGGTGAGGCCATGAGTGGACCCCTGTGCTCAGTATGCCCCCTGGCCTAGCCTTGGCTGGGGACGAGGTCAGCGTGCTGCTTTCTGATCAATTTGTGTGCCCACCATTCTGGCGCATCCTCTGATCTGGGATCTCCTGAGCTGTCTCATTGACTGTGTGGCAGGGTGTTAGCTGTGCATTTTAGAATTATGTGGCACTTATGTGTGCCGTTACTGCTCCTCTAAGCATTTCCAAGTATCCCCCCAACTTGCGATGGATGGAGAGGCCAGGACACTGTGCTGCTCACCTTCCCACTCTGCCTGCTGTCCTGAGGTGCCTGGTCACACTCGGAAGACCTGCTGTCACCCTTCATGTGCCACTTGGACGCCGAGTCTGCTGCAGCCCATATTTCCCTCTAGACCTCCATTCCCTTGACAGATTCGGTGCCCACATTTTCATGTTTCCAGGACCCATGTGCTTGCCAAGCATAGAAAGCTGAAGCATGCATTGGCTTCTACCCTACCTCGCCACACACTGTGTATGAAGAGCCCTCACCTCTATGGCACACAGCCAGTCGCTTGCCTCTGAAATACTGGTGTGGTCTTTGCAGACTCCCTGCACTGTTTTGTGTTTAATTCTGAAGAACTTCTCATGATGATGAAGTAGGGAGCACAGTTAGCCTTCTGAACCAGCTCATCTTCTGAGCCAGTGTCTTCCGATGCCCTTGGTTTCTTTTCTTTTTTCTATTTTTAGTGCATTTAATTGAAATATAATTTATGTACAATGAAATACACAAAACTAAAGTGACATGGGTCAGTGTGTTTTGTTTTTTCTGCAGAGTTCCCTCCCCTCCCACCCCTGGCAACCAACAAAGTTTCCCTCCATATATAAACCTTTCCTTGACCCTTTACAACAACAAACTTATACTATATTTGTCCTTCTGTGATTGACTTAAGTCACTCAGCATTGTTGTTGTTGCTGTTGTTGTTATGTGCCATTGAGTCAGCCCTGACTCATAGTGACCCCTCCTTGGGTTTCCGAGGCAGTATCACTACGGAAGTAGGATTGCCCAACCTTCCTTCCGAGGAGTGGCTAGTGGGTTT